AGCTGATACCATTTGCAAATGTAGTTGTACAAATAATCAGAGAAAAGAGGATAAGTAGAATAAGTATGTTGACTATATTGTTTAAGGGCCAATAGAATGTTCTTGAGTCAAAAATAAATAAAGTCTGACTATTCTACAATGCTGAATTTGGGAAAGCAAGAAGTAACATGCTTTCCCCTTTTTGCTTCTGTCTAATTGAGAAACAGCATGGACATATAAAATTTTACCATTTATAACTAATAAATGTAGTATTGAAAGGTGAGGTGTGTGTGTGTGTGTGTGTGTGTGTGTGTGTGACTTAAGTTCTATCAGGTTCACAAATCTGAAGACAGTGAAAGAGAAGGGAGAAACTGAAACTACTATTCCCATACTCTCTCCCCCACCCCCCAACACCTAGAGATTTAGGTGGGGAAAATAAAGGGAATTATTTTTCCCTTTACCATAGAATATTTAATAGACATAATATATGGTAATATTGATGTTCATAATATTTTGAAGTAATGGATAATAACTGGCTCATTATGTCTGTATTGAATTTCATGCTACTCATTTTATACCATGATAAACTTTAAATCTGAAAACTTTAAATCTTGCCATATATTGGCTCTGGGAAATTTTTTCTTATTATTTCTTTTGGGTTCCTTTTATTTTCATAACTATACTTATTAGATATTTGCATATAAATATGAGCAACCACTATAAATTACCTTAACAGTCACTTCTAACACAAGTACTATTTGCTTTAACCAGCTAATTGAACACTATATATTCTCTAAGTTAACTTCTGAATGCATTATGTTTTTAACAGTGGATTATACTGACTTCCTTACCTAGGCAGAAGCTGTTTTCCTTGCCAGAGAGCAACTACACTTTTGAGGAAACTTTCTGATCTGACTTTCTTCTCACTTTCTTTCTCCTTACAGTGATCATGCACACCCTTAATTCTTTCAATTACCTTTACTACAAGTTTCTACGTACATAGACATATGTATACATATGTATTGTTGTATACATATATAGTGTTGATCTATATCAAGAAATTTTCAACCCTCCTCTCTGCTTCCTCTTCCTTTTATTTTGTATGTTTACTTTGTATGTTTACTTAATTTCTAATAGGTAATAAGGTTTCTGGGCTTAAAAAGCAACTTTATCAAACTTACAGAAAATATTCTGCTTATAGTTTTTTTTTTAAATCTCTTAAACATGCCTAATTAGTGTGGCTTTAAATCAAATTTAGTACTCTTATTTTCTGTATTGCGTTAGAAGCATATAAGAATGACTAAAGTAACAATGCTTTTAAAGAATTAGTCTGGGGGGCTGGGAAGGTGGCTCAGTGGTGGAATGCTTGCCTCACATGCATGAGGCTCTGGGTTTGATCCTCAGCACCACATAAACAGAAAAGCACCGGAAGTGGCGTTGTGGCTCAAATAGTAGAGCACTAGCCTTGAGCTGAAGAGCTGAGGGACAGCGCCCAGGACCAGAGTTCAAGTCCTATGACCAAAAAAAAAGAATTTGTCTGGAAGAGGAGAGAATAAATATATGAGATAAAAAAGAGGTACATCTAGACACATGTACCTAGTATGAAAGCATCAGAACTGCAGTGCTTCTTGTGTAGTTTTTTAATTAAAAAGAAATGATAATACTAAATACATGTAGTGCTAGTATGAGCAAGTTTCTGCCCTGGTTTTGATTTAATACATTGTCAGATCTCCTATCAATTCTCACTATTAATTTTTCTAAACTATTTCCCAGCTTTTCTTGTCCCTTCCCCTGCCTCACAAGCTGGGGTGCTGGCTTTTGTAAGAATAGAATAAGAAGATAGAGCAGATAGGAGTGGAGGAACAAGAGGTGAGTAAGATTAGGTAGGTGTGTACAAGATGGCCATGCAAAATTTGTTTATATAGCCTTGCCCTTGAATTTTTGAAAATTTCTGTTTTAACATAGAAATTAGTATATTACATTAACTCTGCTTAACAGTTTATAATCTTTCTTTAAAATGTCTTTTGGTTGTATTAACTACTTAATTTTATTAACTATCTAAAAACACTCATTGTCTGCACTTACAAATGCAAAATCTTCTTTTGTGAAAGGAAGTTGTTTTTAGTAATGTTTATAGTTTATGGAAACTCATCATCCATCATTTGAGTTTGGTATGGATTGGATTGACTTTTTAAAAGAATATTTACTACTATTAAGATACCAAGTCCTAGCAAGGTGCTAGTGACTCACACCTGTATTCCTAGCTACTCTGGAGGCTAAGATATAAGGATCACAATTCAGAGCCAGCCTGGGCAGGAAAATGTGTAAAACCCTTATCTTCAATTAACCACCAGAAAGCTGGAAGTAGAACTGTGGCTCAAGTGGTAGAGCTCGAGCCTTGAACAAAAACAAACAAAAAAAAAGCTCAGAGACAGGCCCTGAGTTCAAGCCCCAGGATTGGCACAGTTAAGTGCTGTAGAAGTTTAGTAAACTTTTTCTTGTTAGCTTATGACAAAATTTAAAAACAAAAATGAGTTCAGATTAATGAGATTTAGTAGTTACTTATTGATTATAAAGTAAAAGCCTTTAACTATTTAAATCTTTCAGTATTTCCTGTACTAAAAGACTGGTTTTACTAAAAATCATATACATAATACACATCTGTTTATTACTATATGAACTACTTCTAAGAATGTCACGCTGAATCTGAGAATCCTAGGACATTTCATATACCAGAAGCAGGATATTCACTTACACCTTGATATGCAGGCAGCCTTTAAATAGCCAAATAGTTGGTGACTAGTCTCACTAAAACTTTAGGCTTTTTCCTCTTTATATTTTGAACAATGTATAACATTCATATCAAATAATACAAAAAAAGAAGAAAAAGAAAATTTTAATTCAACCATTCTTGAACTCTCCTATCCTTACTCAGAAGTAGAGAGCTGGGCTGGGATGTAGCTCAGTGGCAAAGCGCTTGCTACGTCCTGGGTTCCATCCCCAGTACCAAAAAAGAAAAGACAAAAAAAAAGAAGTAGAGAGCTTTCACAAGTTTTTTGTGTATCCTCTTACAAATATTCTGTAAATCTACAAACATTTGCATATAGATCCATCCTTGTCTTCAAACAAAAAAGATACACATGGCTGAGTGGGTGTGGATGGCTCATTCCTATAATCCTAACTAGCTACTTTGGAGGCTGAAATCTGAGGATCTTGATTTATAGCCAGCCCAGTCTGGAAAGTCCTAGAACCTCTTATCTCCAATTAATCAGCCACAACAACAGCAAAAAAGCCTGAAGTGGGGAGCTATGGTCCAAGTTGTAGAGCACTAGCTTTGAGCAAAAAAGCTTAGAAACAGACTGTAGGCCCTGAGTTTAAGCTGCAGGACCAAGCCAGGCACCAGGAGGCTCACGCCTGTAATCCTAGCTACTCAGGAGGCTGAGATCTGAGGATCAAGGTTCAAAGCCAGCCTGGGCAGGAAAGTCCATGAGACTCTTATCTCCAATACACCACTCAGAAAACCCCAAAGTGGTGCAGTGGCTCAAGTGGTAGAGCACTAGCCTTGAGCTGAAGAGCTGAGGGACAGTGTTCAGGCCCAGAGTTCAAGCCCCATGACTGACCAAAAAAAAAGTCTCAGGACCAGCACAAAAAAAAAAAAAAAAGGAGAAAAAATATGTGTGTCTATCTACTGTATATACTATTAAGATCCTTGGGCTTCTTCTCAGGGACTCAGACTTATTTATATGTGTATAAGCTATTATTTACTTATCTAATCCTATAAATATCCCTTGCTTTGTATTTTTTAAATTCTTACACTGTCACAACAAATATTCTGTTGCTATGTAAGTAGGATAAGTTCCTAGAAATAGAAATGCCAAGTCTGAGACAAATATTATCTTCTGTTTGTTTATCCATTCATTCATTTATATTGGTCCTAGGGCCTGATGCTGTCCCTAATCTTTTGTGCTCAAGGCTAGTACTCTGTTACTTGAGCCACAGTTTCACTTCAGTTTTTTTGTGGTTAATTGGAGGTAGAAAGTCTCAATTTCTGCCAGAGCTTGCTTCAAACTGTGTTTCTCAGATCTTAGCCTCCAGAGTAGCTAGGATTACAGGAATTACCGTCATGAGCCACTGGTGCCCAGTTCTGAGACAGTTATGTTTAATGGAACTAAATACCAGTTTATAAGTACCTTCTTACATTCTCAAATAGCATATTATCAAATTTTGGATCTTAGTCTAATTGATAAGTGAAAATTACTATTTACTTGTTGTGTATACATCTATTTAATTATGAATGGATAAGAGGGTTTTTTATGCTTTAGTCATGGATATATATCCTACAGTAAAAATCCTTTGTCAGTTTCTGTCAAATTACTAGTTTGTTATTAAATTTAAAAATTTTTAAGAATCAGAACTGTATGTGTTACTTTTTTCCCCTCAGTTTTGTCTTTTTACTTAATTAAATTTTATATGTGGAAAATTTTTATTTTTCTGTAATCAAGAATAGTTGGTTTTATGGCTTCTGAGTGTGTATTTTTCTCATGCAATTTGTTTTCTTCTGGTATTTTTGTGTTTTTTTTTAACTACAAAATTTTGTTGAGTATGTGATTTATTGGTATTAGAAGGGAATAGGAATTCAGCTTAATTTTTGAGATTATTAATCTGCCATCCAATATCTTTTTTTAGTGTTCTATCTTTCTGTTATCTTCAATGATAATATCATGCACTATTAATTTGAATTTACTGCCAAACTATCATATTTTTTATAATTGCCATTTTGTATGTTCTTATGTATTTGTGATACTTCTTTAAAAGTATTTTCTTAATTAGAATTTTTATCTTAAATGTTAAGTCATACGTAAAGCAAAATTTTACTTTGTCTTCCATTATTGTATAGTCTCTCAAATTAACTTTTATACATAGCTTTGTAATTTCCATTGTATAATTAGTCTCTGAAACTAACTTCTATATATAGCTTTGTAAGTTCTCAGTTTGAAGAATTATTCTTTTTTTTTTCCTAGCTTTTAATCTAGACAACGAGCAACCAGATTATGATATGGATTCAGAAGACGAGACCTTATTAAATAGACTTAACAGAAAGATGGAAATTAAGCCTTTGCAATTTGAAATTATGATTGACAGACTTGAAAAAGCCAGTTCTAATCAGGTACTGTATTATGTAAAAAATGTCTCTTACAAATTAGCCAATTTATTTTGTACATTTATTTTGAATTATTTTTAGACCTGAGTATTGTGTTTTATTGTCTCTTGAATTTTGTTTCTTGAAATCCCAGAATTTCTGTTTACAGTATTCCTGACAGACTCACTCCATCATCACTTTCTCAAACAAGAACCTCAAGAGCAGTGTTCTGACATCTTCCTATGGGGATAAAATAATTCTAGTTACAGTGCTGTAGTATCGTCTTTATCCTTTCCAATAGGACTACATTTTGATATAAACAAAATAATAAATTTGGGTACTGCTAAATGTATTTGGTGGGTTTCCTAAGGCAACCATCTTGTATCAATATTTACCATTTTAAATGAGTTTTAATTTTAATTATGTTACTTAATTTTTTTTATTTTTTGGCCAGTCCTGGGGCTTGAGCACTGTTCCTGCGCTTCTTTTTGCTCAAGGCTGGCATTCTACCACTTGAGCCACAGCACCACTTCTGGCCTTTTCTGTTTATGTGGTACTGAGGAATTTAACCCAGGGCATCATGCATGCTAGGCAAGCACTCTACCACTAAGCCACATTCCCAGTCCTATTTAAAACTTTAAGTTAAAGAAAATTATTCACAAAACTAAGAATTTAAGTGAGATATGACAGGTGTCACAGAGAATTTAAAATGATGCTGTCTTTTTATAAAGCAGTTAAACAGCACATATCAGCAGCCTTACATGTTTTACACTTTTTGATTTAATAATCTCCATCTCTGGGAGTTATTCTCAAGGAAATTAGGATAAATGTAGCTCAGTAGTGAAGTACTTACTTGCCTAGCTTACACAAGGCTCTGGGTCCTACTTGCAGAATTGCAGAAAAAGACAAGATCAACAAGAAGAAAGAAAACCTTTTAAAAACGCGAATGTTTAGAATAAGTTACAAATTGTCTACAGGCTGAAATCTAATGCAGCTATTATAATTTTGGATGATATCTAATGCCACAGGAAATTTTCATTTGATGTTATATAATATTAAACATATAATACTAAATTTCAAAAATGAGATATTGTTTATTGGAAAGTTCTCAGAATTCTGTTTAAAAGATATTTTACACGTGCCTAAGGAGGAAAAAATGCAACAAGATGTCATCAGTTTTCATATTTAGGTACTGAAATAATTGATGATTTTTGTATTCTTTATTTTTCTATTTTCCAGATTTACTTTAATAAGCATGTATTGATATAAATAGTTAAAAATAAACTATAAAATAAGTTTTGGTGTACCTAAATGTGATATTGATATGCTAATTTTTTCAGTGTGTTTTTACACTGACAATTAAACCAGTTATACATAAGTCAGTTACAGATAAATCGGTTATAAATAAACATTTTGCAGTAGGTTCTTAAAACTCTTCACTAGTTTGCCTATAGAAATTAATTTTACTTACCTTATAACTTGTCTAAATCCTATTGTCAGCTTTTTAAAGCATTTCACAAACTTTTCCATTGGAACATTACTTAGCTGTATGTTTAATTTTGTTCTAGTCTTTGCCCTGTTCTAATATTTAGTGCACTATTAAAAGAACACTTTGAAAAATGAACTTTGTAAAATTCAGTTTCCTGATTTTTGAGAGATTTTTTTAATTGGGATTTTTTTCTTAATTGTAATTTTGATATTAATTATACAGTTTGTGCTCACCATTTTCCTGATATTTCAGTCACTGGCATCAAATAATAGTTTTGGGGGTTGGTTTGTTGTTTGTTTGCTTGTTTTTTTAGATTTAAAAAAATCTTAAAAAATGAAGGCTGAAACAGTCTGATGTTCATATATTTTTTCATAATTCAAAAATGAATCAAGATAGCTACAATTATTTCATCAGAAGTCTTCAGCTCTCTGTTCTACAATTTGCTTTCTTACTGTTTCTCACGAACAAGATAGGTGATAGCATTGAATAAGACATAACAAAAATCTTGCCCTTGAGGAGCTTATTATCTAATTAGGGGCAGGATAAACAAAAAAAGCTTGTAAACTATGCAGTTTAACTGTGCACCTATAATCAGCACTATCTTATTTTCTTTTTGCTTAGGGACAAGCTTCTAGGCCTTCAAACAACTGACTGAGCACAGAGCATGGTAGCATCTACTTAAAGCAGTGGGAGATAAATGGTGGAAATGTTGTCTGAGGAACAAAATAAGGTCCTGTTAATAGAATCAAGGATTAAAGAAACCAAGGCCCTGTCTGAATTCATGGATCCCTTTATTTTTCCTTTTTTGAAGGCTGGCATAGTATCAGATCCCAGGCAAGAAATCAAGTTTGTACTTAGCCTAATATTTATTAGGTTACTAAACACTTAAAAAACTAAGGCAGACTTTCTGCCTCTATCTTTCTGGGACATTATGGTAATGAAGCCATTATTGAGAATTCCTGTTGCCGATTGCTATAATTAGTTTAGTCCCCATCTATTCCTTTTATTTGTTGTGTTCTTATATCATTTTCCTATCAATGCTGGAGATCAAACTCAGCACCTCATGCATATTAAGCAATTTACACTACTACAGACCTGTATCCCTAGCCCTTTTTATATCTTGAAAATACCTTCATTTTTGTTGTTTTTAAGCAGTTTATTTCCTTCTAGTATTATTTCTCATGACATTACTTCCTAGCTTCCTTTTGCTTTTTTGTTTCATAGTGAGACAAGGTCTCACCATATAGTCCAGACTTGTCTGAAACTCAAGATGCTATACTCCTACCTCTTGAGTGTTGGGATTATGGTCTAGGTATCCATCCCTGTGGCTGGCTCTAACTCATTTTGGTGCTCCTTTTCACTCAACACCTTTAAACCTGGAAGTTTCTTGAAGTTTTGTTCATGGTGTTCTTAGTAGGTGTACTTTGGATATTATCACTTAAGTGATGATTTTTGTGTATACAATAGTTCATGTACTTTTGTCCTTTACATCTTTCTGAAACCATAGTATTCTTTCCCTCTTTTGATGGTAACTATTAGCATCTCCATTAATATGATCCACAGACGTCTCCAGTTTAACTTTTCTAAAACTAAATTACTGTATTACCCTAAATAATTCTTTATTATCTCTCCAATAACTGCTCAAACCCAGAACAACTATTTTTTATCTTTTTTTCAATCTTTAAATATGAGGATGGGGCATGGTTCAAGTAATAGAATATCTATCTAGTATGTATAAAGCCTTATGTTCAATCTCCAATACTAAAAAACGAAACTCTCGAGTGTGAGGGGTGGCGAGGAGGCGGGAGGGAGATAGAAAACACAAAGCAAATGGGTATAAAAGCTAACAATAGATGAGTCTGGATCTAAGGATAAGCAAGTATTGAAATATAAGGTTCTCTATGTGTTGGAGGTTATTGTTAAATAAAAAAGCTGTTTTTTTTAAGATATCACAAAATACTTTAAATGTCATTCTCTTTTATCCTCTAATATGAATACCCTAATAAAGCACTTTCTAAGAAATAGATTTTGTTTTGTTGTGTGCCAGTCTTGGGGCTTGAACTCAGGAATTGGTCACTGAGCTTTTTTTGTTCAAGGCTAGCACTGTACCACTTAAGCCACAGCTTTGCTTTTGAACTTTCTTTGAACTTTCTTTGAACTGCAACGCTCATATCTCATCTTCCTGAGTAGGATTACAGGAACAAGCCATTAGCACCTAGCTGAAATAGATGTTTAGTTTTCTTTTTAATACCTTCTATTTCATTTTATAAATCCTTATTTTCTCCTACTTACATTAATATCCTGTGTTTATATATTTAACACTGTTCTCCAGTTACTACACATTTCTACATTATCTTCTTACTTTTCACCACTCCTATCCAAATCAAGACACATTTAATAATATGAAGAAATAAGAAACCATTAGCTATGAGTTTTGAATAATTTTACTTATTCTTTCATTTTCTCTGGTCATTGGCTCTCTGCTCAAATGGTGCCCAAGAGTATGTATTTTCAAAAGAGAATCTTTCTATATATAAATTGCATCTTTCTCAAAAATCTAGCACTTTTCTATTATATGTTTTCAAAAGGTTAGCTGTAATTGGCGCTTCCAGTGTTTGCCTTTTACGTATATGACAAACCACTTGACTAAATTGAGCCCTTTAAAGTGCTAGTGGCCTTCTAATTGTCAAGCAAGAGGTTTTTGTGTGTTGTGTGTGTGTATGTGTGTGTGTGTGTATGTGGGTGGGTGGGTGGGTGGTTTGGTTTTGTGTGTGTGTGTGTGGTTTTTTGTTTTTGTTTTGGTTTTTGGCAAGCAAGGGGCCTGAACTCAGGGCGTGGGCTTTGTCCCTGAGTGCTTATGCTCAAGGCTAGCGCTCCACCACTTTGAGCCACAGCTCCACTTCCAGTTTTTGAGTGGTTAATTGGAAATAAGAGTCTATTGGGGACTTTTCTGTACAGGCTGGCTTCGAACTGCGATCCTTAGATCTCAGCCTCCTGAGTAAATAGAATTTTTTTAAAAAATTGTCCTGGGCTGGGAAGGTGGCTCAGTGGTAGAGTGCTTGCCTTGCAATGCATGAGACCCTGGGTTCAATTCCTCAGCATCACATAAGCAAAAAAAAATAAAAATAAAATAAAAAAATTGTCCTATATATGCTTAATCTCTTTACAATATTCGACGATGCTAACTACACATTTGATTCTTCATGTCTTCTTCTATTGCCCCTACCTTATATGTTGATATTTCTTTTTATTTTAGCTTTAGTACTTATTCAAAAATTTCATTGCTGGTTCTTAAATTCTGTGTCTGCCTACCAAACTCCAGGCTGTGTTTCATGTGGAATTATTTATTCTACCATAGCAAGTATTTCAAATTCAACATTTCCAGACCTCTTGTTCACCTGGAATTCTACTTTCTTTTTCTTAATTAATGGCATTATATTCCATTCGATCTACTAGTTTTCACGAATATCTTCTAGAGAATCATCCATAGCCAAATATAAAGAAATCAAACAAGTTTTCCCTAAAATACTAATATTAT